GCCTTAATTACTGAATCCTCTGTACCAGGTTATTTTTACTGACACACAGCACCAACAATCAATCGTCAATTTATGTTATTTGTGCCGTTTAACTTCACAAAATTTCAATGTTTACGACTTTTTTTTTTTTTCTTCTTCTTCTTCTTCTTCTTCTTCTTCTCCGTCTTCATAATCTTCTCCTTAATGTTCATTTCTTTACGGTCGTCACTTAGACAAAGAATATTCTGGGGCATTTGGTAACATCTGTGTCGCCTTGAAAATTTCTCCTTTCGCTATGAATTATCGTTGGCGGATTCCTCATGTAATCCTTTTCATTCATTTTAACTCCGGAATTAAGCGCAATTCAGTTGACCGGTTGGACTCAAAAACGTCTCAACGTTCATCGTTGGTTTAAACAGCTGGACAAAGAAGGTTGGTTTTTCAATTTTTTTTCTCATCTTCTACAAAATTTTCATTTTTGAAGTACCAAGTTTCAGCTATAAAGTTCTATTTCTTTCTTTCAAGAATGTTGATGATATTCCTCATGAAATGTTATATTTTTTTCTTTAGAGGCCAGATGTCATTAATTTGCTGCCAAATAGTTCTCCTCTTACTGATCTCCCAAAGTTTTCAAGGCGGAAATGCAAAGCAACAAAAAAACGAAAACATCAAATCTTTGGTGAAGACAAATTTTTACTGTTCATTAAACTGAATCTTTCCTGGAATTTCGTTTAAATTTACGTAACTGAGAGAGAATTTTTTACCTTTCTCAATGTAATGTTGAAGGAACATTAAGTTTGTTGGTCAAAAAGATTAATGCTGCCGAAAAAAAAACTAATAACAGCAAAATGAAAAGCTAAGAAATTTTGAAGGAGCAAAAACCTTCTACAGTTTCTCACTGACCACTTAACACAATCTTTGCAATATTAAACAGCATGAAATTTGAGGAATTTTTCTTCCAGTTTTTCTGTTTGTTCTTCAATAAAAACGCTCTTTGAGAAACTACTGTAAAACCCATTACTACTTCCTCTAAAATGATGTTTCTCAGAGACAGAAAATATTATGAGTGTTTGATTTTCCTCCTCTCCTTAAAAAATAGATAAACATTGGTGGTCCCAAAGAAAAAAAGTAGAGAAAAATGCTTTAAAGTTGACAATAAGGTGCAGCTGTATACCCAAAGCGCAAATTTGTAAGATTTTAGAGTAAAAAATAATTGGAGTTATTGGAAAGCTGTATGGCTTTAATCGTTACCATTATAAAAGAATATTCTTTTAATGGCTTTTTTCAGTTTCACTAGTAGATTCAACTATTACTGTTCGCAGTGTTAATTTTTGGTAATGAAACAACAGCTACTGCACATGAAAAATTCAGATTTATACAGTTCTAGAAACATCGTCCTTCCAAATCAAATAAATCTTCAAAATAACAATACTAATTTTTATTCATTTTTAACATGAAATTTCCAGAACAATACTGCGGATGCAGATAGTAGCGATGTCGAACTGTTGGAACACTGCTTTGGCAAAATTAAAAGTTCGCTGGGCCTGTATCCAAAGTTAAGAGCTCGATTAGACCGTAATGTTCGAGCAGCTAGAATGGATAAAATTGTTGGACTTCTTAAGGAAAAAGTATAAAAGTTTTTTATTTGAAATAATTGCACATTCAAACCCACAATTTTTTTAAAATAAATTCCAATAAAAAAATTTTTTCATTCAGCTGCCACAAAAATGTGGTTTTCATAGCTGACACTGTTTCAGATATTAAAACTGTGTACAACAGATGAAACACACACGGCACTGAATTATTTGAAAAAGTTTAGTTCATCTGTTGAAATGGTAAACGCAGTTGTCAGAAACCTAACAACATTGGAGCGGTCCAGTTTGAACATCTGGGATAACCTTGGTGACTCTAACACCGAAAGTGCTTTTTATCTGCAAAAATTTAAGGTTGTTCAATTGATGCCTTAATTAACACTGTAACGAAATAACCAGCTGCTTAATTTTGAAAATTTACTAGAAGGAGTTGCAAATAATTGCTTTCAAGGTTATTCTTAGATGAAAGTCCATTTGAAGTGCGAGGAAGAAAGGTTGAAAACATACGCTTGTTCTTTTCCAATATGTTTAATAATTTAAATTGGTCTAGTAATTAAGTGCAATCTTTGAACCAATGATTTTTTTGAGTAAATTATTAATCAATTCACGTGAGAGCACCGTATGAGCGGAGTTATGCATACATTTAGAATAACATTGGAAGAAGGGGGATGAGCAACAGATGAATCTCTCACGAAAAGATCGTAGCACAAAAGACAACTGAAAATTACTAAACTAAAGAGAATTTAAAGTTTAGAAGTTTGTTTACTGTTAAAGTTGCTCTTCATTACTAAATTTTTGATTACAGGAATTATCGGATGAGCAATACCATATGCTGAAAACTGCATTTGCTGATCTGATGAACACTTTTATGAAAAGTAATACCAAACAGAGTATCGCAAAATTTTTGGTAACACTGAAACCGGATGAAATTAGTGAACTAAAGGTTTGTCTTATTTTTCTAAATATTGTTTCTAAAATATTTGGTAGTTGCAAGTATTCACTAAAGTTCTCAAGAACAAACCAGTCGATACACGAGATCAACTACTTCCTTTATCGAATCTACACCTAATGCCATCACTTGTGGAGAACCAACTAAATTCAGTTACCTACGGTTGAACAATTCAAATCTCAAACTGCAGAAATTTCATTGAAATCATATAGGCAAACTACCAAGATCAGAAAAGCTAAAAACAGACGATGCGTTTGAAAGACCTAACCACTTGCAGCAGCAAGTAGAATTAGGAAAAAAAAATTTGCTTGAGTGATGGGACAAACCGAGACCAAAGAGACTTGGGACTTTAATTTCTTCCGTTATTATTCGTTCCATAAACTTTCAACTTTGCTCTGATGATAATTATTCTTATAATGCTGCATGTTCAGAAAATTACAAGCAAATTTAACATACTCCCATAAAATTTTCAGCGGGATATAATTTTTCTGAGTCTATTTGAGCTACAGTAACCGGTAGCTTACTGTCTTTTGAGTACTAGGTACACCAAAGGTGCAGAGAAACCACTCGAATTACAATAAGTAAAAAACTGATCTTCTCCTTTTAATAAACTCAATATAAATTTAAAACAGACCTAAGTTTAAAGTAGCCGCTCACCAGCAATTGGAAGCCAATTAATACATCAACAGTTTAGTATAAATAAGTTTTTACAGAAACTGGCCAAAGCTGGAAAGATGGAGAAAATTCAGCTGCTGACTAAAGAGAAATTAGAAGACGAGGATTTGACAGAAGAGGAGAGAAGCGAGATAACTGACTTTACCGAAAAACTGTTTTCAGTTAACGATCACTGAACTGTATATATTTCTTGTATCGCTTTTTCTTATTTCATATGCTTGTGATACTAACCAGGCAAACAACTGTACCATACTTCTTGAAAGCATTACGAATGTGAACACAAACTGCCGTAACTTTAATTCCAACTCCACTAAAGTAACTAGCCGTAACGCTTACTTTCTGCTTAAGTGCGCCAATTAAATTACACATAATCCAACATGTAATATTTTTCCACTCGTTTTGATTATCAGAAACCGTATATCTTGAGAGCGACGTACGGTTCGTTTACATCAACTCCCAACCAAGTCTCCCCATCTGCACCTACTTCCAAATTCTAAATGAAGAAGTCGTTCCCGCCAAAAATTCCTTAGCAGAAACCGACAAATGACCATGACCGCGGCCAAAAGTTACGAACTGAAAAGGTACAAAAAAAAAGCCATTTTACTTCCAATGCATCAAAAGAAGCAGCGAAAGCCTTGACTCACGTCAACCAGCAGCACGAACGAGCTTGCAATAAGCAAAAACAAATGAAGGCACTGCCACAATCCAGTCAGCCAAGACTATGGAACACACGAAGCCAACCGATCCCCCAGGGACCCCCAATGTCCCTTAACACCTCCCAATGCGCCCCGTCACCTGAACCCTAGGCAGATAGAGCCGACTCCACAGCACGACAAGTAGATGCACAGAACTAGGCTTATAACTAACACCAGGATAAGACCAGAAGCTCGGCTCGTTTGCCAGTAAGTCAATCGGGAAAGTTTTATTCAAAGTTTACATGAAGCAGAAAAAAAAAGAAGTTAGCACCTCAGCGTACTTACATTTATTATAAACAAATACAACCAGCAAAAAGAGATTCAAAAAAGGCTGATAAAAACGATTCAAAAATTCAACAAAGAATTAAATCTTGAAAACTCTTGTACGATTCCTATGATAGTGCGTTATTAGCTGTAAGAGCTACACTTCGTTGGTAAAAAACGTTTTTGTCCACATCTGCCGGGTCAAAGTTAAGAGTGAACAAAAGATTCGTGCGGCTGCGATACAAATAAACCGGTAAGACAATCAAAGACGAAGAGCTTGGCTCCCGAACCCAAGACAAAGCTACTATTGGCAATTCAGTGCTGACTTCGTCGACTACTGTAATCGTATTTCCTGCTTTGCATGCAGCTCCCATCAAACGTAAACCTATAAAGCGAACTTTAGTATTTTAAGCGCCACAGAGCTTAGCAATAAACAATGAACAGGCGGCACGCGGCACACAGCAGAACCAAGTTACAACAGCTACCTTCAATCCTGAACGTGTCCGGTTTGTCTTCCGTAACACCAATTTCAACTTTTATATTAAGCTCCTCAAGTGACCACTGGTTGGATTGCGCAACTAGCTGTCGAGTAGCGGTAATATAAGCTTCCGGAGCAAACATACCGCCTAACCAAACTGTTTCTTTCTGAAACGTTAAGATGAAGAAACAAGAGCAAAAAATCTCATTTATTGCTAAAATCAATACCTTTAGAGAACCCGATGTAGCAAATTTAGACAACTGATTAACACGCTCAGCGAAATCAGCTATCCACGCCATCACAGTAATACCCTTAGGTACTGTGTACCTAATCCACCCGTTGGGCACAAGACCCTTTGTTAACGCAGAAGTCAAAGCACGCGTGTGATTGTTCTGTTTCTGCTCACCCCGACAAACGGCATGTACCTTAAAAAAGTCTGCAGTCAAAAAGTTAACAATAAAAATGTACTGTTGCTTAAACAAATTTGGTTAACCTGCTGCAAGTCAGCTCGCACTTCTGAAAGTAATTGTGTCCCGTGGTTTATCTCTCTTTCAAAGAATCGGAACAACGGGTCTTTAATATTATCCATACTGCGCCTCAACTTCGGGACGCTCTGTAAAATTAATCAACTCAAAAAAATTTGGACCGCTCACAAGAGACTCATCTAAACTGAGAGCTCGTTTAGAAAAAAGCTTACGCAAGAAACAGACGCAGAACAAAAAACTTGAAACTTAATGCCCTAAAGAAAAGGATAAGCAAATGATCACTTTAGGTAACATCTTTAGCCACTGCGAACTCTGTTCAGCCAAAATGCTCATCCAAGGAGGTGCTTGAGTCTTCTGATCGTCTACTTCAAAAGCTAACTCCTCATCAGAAACTTTCAAAAGATTTGCCAACATTGCTTCGCCTAAAAATGCAGTACTTATTGTGCGGTTTAGGCTTACATTTTTCAATTCAATATGCCCATTTATAAACGTAGAGTTAAATTCAAAATAACTGAGCGGAAATGACCGGTTTTAAACAAACCTCTGACACTTAGAAGAACCTTTTCCGCATTATTTGGTAATCCAAGCCAATTAGGATGCTGTAGATGGTTAATGCTCTCAACCCAGTGAATAAGGTGTTCACGAGTAGTGCCTTCTGGCACACAAAGATTATTTGTTTTCCCATCAACATTCTGTATCAACACGTGATCCACATCAAACGACTTTGCGGTGAAGAGTTTTTCCAAGAAACTATCCAGAAGCACCTTAAAATGGAATTATTTGACGATTCTTAACGCGATACTGAAATAAAAAGACTCAAAACCTGATCAAATCGATTGTCGATCTTTCCGCCGTAAATGCACTGGGAAAATAGTGTTTGTAAAGTATGCCAAGGAAGCTTTTCAGGAGCAACATTATTACGCCCCATAGCAACTGAATCAACCGCAGCATCCAAAGTATCACAAGCCACACGCAAGTCCGCATCAGAAAACTCGTAAGAATTTGCCCACCCAAGAGGTGTGTACCTCATACGCTCTTGAACCAAACCATGTAGCCAACATACCAAAAAGTAAAGCCTTGCACGTTCTGCAGGGATTTTGGAAACCCGTTGGGGTAGTAAAGAGGTCAAAGACCTTAATAAGTTGGCCTAAAAAACTTCGAAGCTTTACGGAACATCAAAAATTTGTCACACGCAGAAAGTATGAAGAAGGCATTCATAAAAAGTGAAAATCCCACTTTGAGGCCGGTTGCTGGTTCAAATACAATAACACGTGAAGCACGAAGCACAGAAGCTGGAAGTTTTGGGTGGATTTCTGCTGTCAATAAAAGGCGGAACTCTGGATGTGGTTTTAAAGTATGAAGCCGCTTTTCTACTTGAGTTAACCAACTAGGTGCCAAATGTACATTCTTAAGCAAGATCCACCGGCCTGACTTGGAAGCAGAACTAAGTACAGCATCTGCCTGAGAAAATCCCTCCGCAGAGCCTAAAAATATAACTTTTTTTTTGACAATCCTAACTAAAAATATTAGAGTTTATCAAGCGAAGAATCTGTAAAAAACTAACCGATAGCAATTGAAGTCACTTCACGACCCAATTCAACTGCTAAATCTTCAACCTTCCCAGAAGCATCAAAACCAATGGCTGATGACAGTAACACTGGACGATTCGGCGTCACCTAAACAGGACAAGGTCCATATAAAAACAAAAACTTCCTTGTAATTACTTGAACTGTCCTAGCAGAAAACTTACTTCATTGATAACTATTTCCGCCAAATTAACAACTTTATCTTGTTGCATAAATTCTACGCCAAAAGCTGCTGTGATCAACCTATGACAAGATGCCAGTAATCTATCCGGTCGCAAGGCATGGACAACCAGCAGTTCATTGAGACATCGTCCAATATTTGCTAAAAAATTGAATTGAAAAAAAAAAACAAAAATTTTACATAGCAAAAACAATAAATCAAACTCACACACTTAATAAGAAACTTACTTAGCTTTTCGTCATTAGACCATAATACTGGGACTGAGAGCTCCGGATCGTCAAGACCCAACCAGTCAACAAAGCTGCTACTACCTTTAACCGTGGCAATAATGCTGTTAAAGGCAGGAAGCCTTGACAGTTGAGATAGAGCCATACGCTGATTGGAGTCCAAAAACGGAAGATCTACAGACGACTCCGACTTATCTTTCTGCACAGCAAACACTTCAGTTCGCCCTAACAGATGGTCCATCTGCAATGTTTACACTTTAAGAAAGTTCACACCAATATTAGACAATTTTGAGAATAACATTAGATATAGTGGCACCTTGAAGTTTCAATAAACTGACCTCGAGCTGGTATGAAGGTTCTTTTGTATTTCCCTTCAACAGTATACGCATAAGTAATATCGCAAGAAGTATCTTATCCTGATGCAACATTCCAAGAGAAACCCGGCGATAAACCATCTAGAAATCTTAACAGTTTAAAACTGTTCAATCAAAGCAACAGTTGTTTCTAATCTACCCTACAGCAAAGAAAAAAGCAACACACTGACGAAGCTAATTACTTGGAAAAGACTTGAAGTAATAATTTGAAGACGAGCATCGTGATCTTTCACCGAGTTCAACTGAGGAGTCTGTAGAACTGCAGTAAATATTTCCATAAGAAAGTCTAACGAGTACTGGTACAAGAAATGCACTTCATTAAGTTGTTGCAGCATTAGGTAAATAAGTGAACAAGCTTGTGCAAATCGCAGATACTGCTGTGAGACAGTTTCAACCTAAAAAATTTCATTTGAATTGAAAAATTTACACAGTTAACGAAAGAATATGCAAAGCTTACCTCAGCTATCACTTTGTCAGTTTCAGCAGCTTTTCGAGCAACTTCTGCAGCTTCCATCTTCAGTTTTTCTAGTGTAGTAATCACCGAGTTATCATCAAGAATCTTCCCTTTACTTTCATTCAGTGCAGCAAGCAGGGCCTGAAAATTTCATTAAAATTGTTTTTCGCAACTGTTTGCCAAAAAATTTTTGAAACTGTTTCATGGTCACAAAAAGATGAACTGAACGACAAAGTAAAAATATTATCACGACCTTTTCTAACTGCCTGAGACGAACAGCAAACTCTCCTTGTAACTTCAACAAATCATTTCTTTTCTCATCCACATCGGGACGTTCACTTCGCAATACCTGATTCAAACACTGCATTTCTAATGAAGAGCGGGTTACTGTGAAGTTTACAAATGTCACTCTAGAGCAAACGTCAGGCGCGAATTCTACCTGAAATAAAGTCTTTGACATACTAGTCAAACAAAAGTTAGATGGAGTTCCTGTTATACTTAGGAAGTAAAAAATCTGACCGAAGCATCTCTCGTAATAAGGAATATTTGGAATGAAGGTGACAAATCAATATCTTGGTCGCCTATTGTAATCAAGATACGTCCACCAGTTCGTTTTACTTCACGGTTTAAGACGGGATTCAAAATGGGGTCATAACTTTCAACATCCTGAACAAGAAGCGCGTTGCCAAAACGAAGTGCTGATTCCAGGTTCTTTCTAGAATGTAATCCAAGTGAAATTGAAAAGTTATTTACAAACAAGTATGATCAAATTTTACCTAAAGGAATCGTCAAGGAAACTAGTTTTTTGTATGTTTTTCCCTGCAAACTGCTTTAGTAAGAAATTGATAGCTTGGCCGGACGGATCTATTATAAGAGGATATCGATTAAACCTAAAAGGCGTAATCAGTAAAACACAATCAGAGGCTTCAAACATCAAAATAAAATGCAATTAGTTGTCAAAGAGACGCAAAATGACCTATGCAACATAATTGAATTTTCCGCACAGAGTTCGTCTACCGGTAAACCATTTTTGTTCCACTCAAGTCGTTCATCAACGGTAGAAAGATATTCAACCCTAGCCAAATCCGACCGGAATTTAATTTCTGCTTGTTGCACAAAAGATATCCATTTATGGAACAAAACATCACGCAGCTGCTGGTCATAGTACCTTAAAAGCCATTTAAACAGTACTGAGCACGCATATTTCATAAACCCTACTCTACTTTTAACTTACCCTGAATATGCCAAAAACGCTGCGCTAAGTAATGCATCACCAATTAATGAGTCCATCTGTTGAGCAAACCCATCACAACCGGTATGCCACCGATCTTTTTCAGAACCAAGACTGGAAAGCAGTTGCGTACTTCTAGCCACCTTAAAAACAAATCCGTTCATTCTAGTTATAATAAAAACGTCTCAAAAAACTCAAGAGAAACCCCTTATTTAGTGTATACAAAACCTTTTCTTGCACAACCGCCAAGTCACGCTTGATCGCTTCCGCCTGACCAATAAGCTGCGCATACTCCTCTTTATAGGCTGCGATACTCTGTTCAAGATCAGCGATTGTCTTTTTCAGCTCTTCTCCCTTTTGCGTTTTCACTTTCGCATCCCTCTCCAGTCGACGGAGTTCGTTCCTCAACGGTTCAACTTTCCTCAGCATATCAGCATACAATAGCTGAGCTTTAACCCACTTCACCATAGGACCACACGCAGATGAAGCACGGTTGATCTGAACTATTTTTGTTAACAATGAGGAAAATTAGCTTTTTAATAAGAAACGTTCCCAGCAACTCTCATGCCTTATCAAAGTCCCAGTCCGGATTCTGAGTGTATTTTTCCATTGCTTTCAAAGTTTCCGGTGTTATAGAATCTGTATCAAAATTAAGAATCCTCTGAACAAAATCGTCCTTCACCATGACACTCCTGATTGCCTTCCAATCCATTCCAGCGTTCTACAATAAAAAAAGAAAAATTTCACTCTCAAAATCTTGCAAAAAACTTCAACAAACCTCTCCCAACAGCAGACAAATTGACTCGAGTGCTAACTTCACTAAATGTGGAGGTGACGACATCGACCTCACTTCCACCAACTGTGCCTTTCTAATACCTTTAACAGCCATCTGAGCCTCTTCTACAGCAGGCTCAACCTATAATAAATGTAACTCTTAAAACACATGTTTAATTCTACAGCGTTGACAATTGACAATCTTTGCTCATATAAACTATTAGCACTGACCTTCGCCAAATCTCTCTGTACTTCAGTTCGCTTCTTCTTTATTTCTTCTAAAGATATTGCCAGTTCTTTCTGTAGCTGCTCACTAGTTAGCTTCTCTTTTTCGGCCTTTTGCTGATCTAATAACATTTCCTAAACCAAAAAATGGTTCAAATTACAGATAACATAAAAGTTAATAAATAGATGGCTCGAAAAAATTGGTTCCGGTTATGCTCCAAGTCTTACTTTTAACTTTATGTTAGCAGCACTCTTCTTTGCCTCCAACTCGCTACTTTTCAATGTTAGAGACTTCCGCAATTCCAAAACTTGTTCTTCTGTCTCTTTGATCTAGAAAGAGAATATACATGCAGGTTCACAAAAAACAGCGTCCAAAATAAAAAAATTGTTACCTTGTTAAGGCCGATATTAAGATGTAGTTTTTCCTCCTCCAGATCTCGTCGCTTTTCATGGAACAATTTTATATAATGTTGGATAAAATCTAGGAAATGTCTTGGTGTTATGGCCATAATCCGATGACCTCGTCTTGCTTCTGTCTCATTAAGCTGTAAGTAATGCAGGAAGTAATGAATAAACACAAAATAAATTTGGTAACATTCTCATACGATATCGAAAAAGAGTTGGTCATTGAAAAAAATGTGAATAACGATGTGCTTCCAAAAGCCGATATCACTAGAGGGGAAGAAAAAATTTCACCTTGCGCACTGAATTGTGAACGTGGACAAATGTATTTATAACAGCATGACGGTACTGAATTGGAGACGGCAGTAGATCACAGACAACAGGAATGGCAAACGGCGCTTGGTACCCGGGCCGATCCATATCCAAAGTATTAGTCAACTCCACGCCCACCTTTAAAATACCAAATTGAAGAGCAAACTTTTTAGCTGCGAAAAAATTAAAAATTTCTGAGCAGTGAACTTTACTTGGTACAATGCAGAATCAGTCCAGTCGCCGAACCAATTCAGCACACATCTATTGAAAAGAGCTGGTGAAGTAGAGGCTCGCTCGCGCAAACCATCTCCCGATGGATTCATAGTGAAAACTACATGCAAATTCCTCATAACCTCAAAATACATTGTTACAGATACTTTTATGAAGAGATGTTTTGAAACAACAACTTAAATAAGTACCTGAGCAGTAAACCACTTGTAGAGCTCATCAGGAGAATCCAACATCAACCCCTGACGATGAGCCCCCTCTTTAATCTGGCTCATAAGGGTCGTATATTCATCACCTTCAAACAAACCGGGGACCTGAAGTTTTTTATTTAGAAGTCATCAGGAAATGATTAAGTCATTACGAAAGCAGAGCTGTGTTCCATACTTCTCCGTTCGCGAGCAAAGTGTTCAGGCGTTCCAGAAATCCAGTATCAAGCATGTTTGACTCATCCATTATGAAGCACATACGCTCATTGCGACAGCCAGCTCTTCTTAAAACAGTGCGCATATCTTCGTCAAAATCAGCGGCCTTGTATTTGGAATGCACTTTTAGCTAAAAAATTGACTGAATAGACCATCTAAAAAGAAGATAAAGAAAAATAATTACTTTAACCCAAAAATACAAGAAGAAGTAAAGTAAGCAGTCTACCTGATAAACTGATAAACCGTTTATCCAAGCAACAAAACGTGAAAGAGTCGTTTTCCCAGACCCCGAGGTCCCGATCAGCAAAAGATGACCTTGCGGTTGACGATATATACGATCTATCCTTAAGACATGATCTAGCATTTGATCAAAGAGGACAAGTTGCACTTCAAGTTCTTCTTCATAAAAGCCTTTCAAACGAGCAGCCACATAATCCCGCAGTTGCTCTTTCTCTACAGGCAAGTAATGCTTCGTAAGCCTAAAAAAATCTTTTAAATTAAACGCACTACAACTTCAAAAAATAAACGATACCCCTGTATTAAACAGATTTACATTTAAACTTACCAGCAAGAATACAACATCGGCCTCTTCAGTGCCACTTCGAGGTTACAGGATGAGCCGAAATACTTGTTTGCAGTTGAATCCAAAAGCTCATCTGTCCATCGTCGTTCCTCTTCATGTACCAAACGATCTTGGAACAACCTCAAAGCCTCATGAGCCCACAACCGAACTAAAGCATCAGGAGTTACGTTATCTAGTGGTGCAATAGCTTCACTGATGCCTCGTACCCAACGAGTGAGCTCACGCGGGGAATATATATAATGCGGCTGTTCATCCTGAGTGAAGTGATCCTGAAGAAAAAAAAAATGATTCTCAAACTATGTGAAAAACTAAGTCACCAACACTTCAAAGACTTTACAACCAGAACCCAAGAAAATAAATCTTAATTTCAGCCACAAGCTTTTCCCTGTTGACATGTCTCAAAAAATTGCTAGTAAAAGAAAAGAAACGGAGTTGTACTGCTTGTAACCTGAGATTGAAGATAGAATTCGACCATGGCGTTAGTTAGCGATTCAGCAAGACCACGCAAAGAAGGCACCATACGTAGCATAGCACGATTGAAAGTCCCATAAATTTGATTAAGTGAAGTTTGACCGGGATAATCAACGTAAACTACAGGTACGTGCCTCAAAAACCGCAAAGTAAGAGGATGCCTTCCTGGATCCGTTGGAGGATTACAAGCACCAACAAGCTGTATCCGTTCTAGGGTGACCCAAGTGTGGTCGGACGCACGATAAAAACCGTTCTGGAATTACTTTTACAACAGATAACTACTTTTCATGTGAAGAAAAATAAAAAGCATATTTGATTTGCGGTATATCTCATGAACAACCCAAAAGAAACCACACCATTTCGACAAGTTGACGCAAGAAAGATATGACTCTTTGAGTGCCGTATTTGTCCGGGGCTGGCAAATTGATTTCATCACAAAATATAACCAGCCATCGAGACAACTGTACCGGTGACAAAACAACACCATTGGGAGTTCGGCGATACTCGCAATAGTGATCAAAAGTTTTCATAAGCAGTTCTGGAGTCGTCGAAGAAGAAAAGTTAACGTTAACGACATCCATATCCTTAAAAATAAAAACGATCAAAAAATAGTTTCTCAGGTTCTTCAAAAAACAGAGTTGATTTCAAAGCTTACTTGGAGAGACCGTAATGCCGACAAAAGCGTCATTGTTTTTCCAGACCCAGGAGGACCACATAAAACAAGTGGTTTGTGCTCGGAAAGCCATGTGTTCAGCAACATCTCATGTCTGACAGTGTCCACAGTAGGAATAACTAAATCTGCCGCAGCTACACGGTGAGTTTCAACCTCGATTACAGGAACTTTAGATGTCCAAGGAACCCAATCACCAGAAATAGACGCCTCATAATCAATAATTGGCAACTAAATAATAAAAGAATTGCAGTCTGTAAAGCAAATTCACAGGTCTAACGAAATTTTAAGTTACTGGAGTGGAAAAAACATTTTCATTGTGTAATGTACAATGTAAAAAAGAAATATACTAATAAAAATCTTACAGAACTGTTGGGAGGTAGCGGTAAAGTTGACGACTGCCTAACAAACTCACTTAATTGTAAACGAGACTTCAATTTACCATCCCCACTGAACGCCCAAATAATGTTGGCCAGCATAGCTCTGCACATATAACCTTCTACCTGCTCATTCTAAAACATCTAAAGTAAGAATCAACTGCTCATATCCAATACTCGAAACAAAAATCAAGAAATGGAATTAGAACTGGAAAGTAAGAGTCCAATGAAGTTGGTTTACCGAAAGAGCAAAGTCGGTATTGTTATTATTATATAAGATTAACTGGCGGACAGAATAGTTCATCATCGAAAAGAATGAAGAAAGCAATCGCTGTTTTGTGGGTTCCATTACATGCTCTAGCTGGGACAAAGAGTAGTTCAAAGCCAATGGTACAAGAGCACCTGCACTCATATGTTGAGCCAAAAATGCTGCACATTTACGCTGCAGAGCAAGTACGCTATTATCAGCATCAGAAGTAATTTCTTCTGGATTCCTGTTCATATCCAATAAGTCGACCTAAACGAATGTGAATCTTTTAGTACTATTTTTGATAGACAATAAAAGTATTCCTTTGGCTTATTAAGAACGCTTTCACAAATCAAGATAACCTGTTGCTCCACATCTAATCGGATATTCTTTAAAACGTTCAAAAAGTGCTCGAATAACATTTCACAGGTCACTACATCTTCGCTAAACCAAACCATACCACAACGTGACACAGTAGCCAACGTTGCATATTTTAAATCAGCTACTTCAAATATAATGCGAACCTGAAGTGAAAAACATTTGTGATAGACCTCAACTGTACTTCTGAAACTACTAAACTACGTGAAAAGAAACAATAAAAATAAGCAGGAACAAACTAGGAGTAACTTACATTTGGTGGGATGGCTAACCGCTCGCCGTTTGGAAGGGTAAGCAATTTGTTATCGTCGAGGACAGAGTTGAGATTTTCAACCCACTCAGGATCAACATCACCATCGAAAACGACCCACTGTCTTTTTGACGTTTCACCCCGCACGTTATCAATTATTTTTCTAATAATATGCGTGAAAAGCCCATCGGTCCATTCCCGGGTATTTGCATCCAACACGCCGTACAAAGCATCTTTACTCATTGCCTGGAATCAATATTTACAAAAGCTGTTTGCTTGCTTTCAGCCTCCTCAAAATGCTGCTAAAAGACTTCCAAACTTTTAAAAATAAAGTAAACTAACTTTTGCATCAATTACATGCGCAACTCCCTCAACATTCTCTAATCGTTCTAGAGCTTTCAATAAAACTTTCCAAGCCGCAGTCTTACCGCTCCCACTAGCTCCGACGAGCATTAAACCATGGTTGAGATTAGTAATTTGATACAACTGTAGTACTTTTTCCAACCAAGCTGAACCAAGTTCCCCGTGAACAGAAGACTGACACAACAGCGATTTTTCACAAACTTTTGCTATTTCGGCACGAAGTCTTGAATAACGTTATCAGTACGTTACAAAGAATTATAA